TTTTTATTTAAAATATTTCAATTAAAATAAATGTATCAAAATATAAAAAGACAACATATTGCATATTGAAGAAGTTCTGCGAAATTAATTTATTCACAATTTTCTAACACCCCTTGCTAGCGCTTTACTAAATTTTGCTTTACTAACGCAAGTTTTAGTAAGCAACGTTAGGTGGCAGCGCTATCGTCACCACTTGATCGTCTTCAATATGAGTGCCAAAATATTACTGTCAAATTCCATACGGTTTTGGCATTGTGCACGCATAAATAGTGCCGGTCAAATTCCATACGGTTGTGAAATTGTTCGCTTAGTCCATCCGGCGTTAAATTCATTAAAAAGCACGCAAAGTATTAGGACATTTGCAAAAACTCAGGCAGTGAAAATGGCCGATTCAGTAGGTTTGTCCAATGAGGAGGCAGCGGCATTATGCAAGCCCGCAGATGCGGCGACCAAGGTATAGTGAATATAAAGAGATAATTATAAGTATTAGTGAATAATGGGCGAATTAGCTAATTATATATGTATGTATAATTAAATATATATGTAAATATGTATTTGACCTTATATGTGCATAATTTGACTAATACGTATTATAATCTTTATAAATATCGTATATATTCGTATGGTTATGATCAATCGTCTAATGTTCTTATTAAACCATTAGAGAAAGTTTATTAATTTTGTTGTGTAAAATTTCAGGATTTCCTCTTCCAACAAACAATGTACCGCATCAAAGATCCACGCAAATCGCTGCCCTTTTACACAGGTGTGCTTGGCATGACATTGCTTGTGAAGTTGGATTTCCCGGAAGCCAAATTTTCCCTCTATTTTATGGGGTACGTACATGGGACCTCCTCTAATTATTTAATTTGCACTTGACTTGGAGTGCTTCTGATAAGATAAAAATATATGATTACGATCAATATGGTATTTTTAAAAATAATTCGTTTGTATTCATACTAATGCACATATTTACATATGTCCATACTTGTAGCTATGAAAATCCTGACGACGTGCCGAAAGATCCCTCGGAGCGTAAACGTTGGGCAATGACCCGCAAGGCAACTGTGGAGTTGACACAGTAAGTTGCACTGCTGTTTACTTGTAAATATGTATATGTATATTGAATATTTAGTGTAAGGCATTAAAATATACAAATTAACCGACTTTTTTGCAGCAATTGGGGCACGGAGAATGAAGAAAAACCAGTATATCACAATGGCAACTCTGATCCTCGTGGCTTTGGTCATATTGGCATATTGGTGCCTGATGTCTATGCTGCTTGCAAGCGGTGGGTGTGAAACAAAGGAATTAATTATTTATTATGTTAATACTATGTAATACAATTCTTATGAAAGCTTTAATTTAAATCTAAAATTTATAAAAAAAAAAGTATATATCTATATATATAGTATATTAATATTTTACGAAAGTGTTAGCTCTGTTTATATAGAATTTCGAAAGGAATTTAAAACACTTGTATCTGTACATTCTCTATTTTCAGTTTTGAAGAGCAAGGCGTTGAATTTGTAAAGAAACCCGATGACGGTCGTATGAAGGGTTTGGCCTTCATTAAGGATCCCGATGGTTATTGGATTGAGATTTTTAAAGCAAACGTTGTATGAATAATAAACGAATAATATTTACAAATAAATTATATAATAATATTTATTTGTTGGGTTTACTTAATAATATTACCATATAAATATCTATATAAAAAACACATCTGCGAAATCAGTAGTTTAATTAATGATTTATTATTTTTTTATATTTAACAACAAAAGTAAAAGTAATTAATTTTAATTTTATTTTAAAAGTATTATTTAAGAATTTTTATTATCAGAACAGAAAAAAATTACATTCATGGAAAAATTGATGCAAACTTTCAAAATAAAGAGTAAAATGGTACTAATGAATAAAAATAATATTATATAAGTTTTAGGAAGTTAACTATAATAGAAATTAAATTTTATCAAAATGACCGAATTATTACAGAGTGTAGAAAAATATGTAAATAAAAGTTAAATAATTAAANATAATTTTTTTTTTGTAGTTTTCGGAAATTTTTTTTTTCGTTGAAACATTTCTAAATGTAAAGAAACAGTTTAAAAGTTTACAAGTTTTTTCAGTTTAATTTTTCTAAATTGTCATTTGTAATGCCTTAATGCAAATATAAATTATCATTGCAAATCCAAGAAAATAAGGCGCAAAGAATAAGTGTGAAGTTTTTCGAAAGTTCAGTACAAAATTAATTGGAATTTTTAGATTAAACTTCCAAAATACACGTTCCCAACCATAGTTTAGTGAACATAACTGTATGTACTTATGTGACTGTAGAGGGTTTAAAAATATTTGAAAAAAAAAATTTTTTTTTTGACTTGAAATTTTTTTAAAATATTCGAAAATATTAAAATTTGTGCAAAATTTACTTTAGATCACTACAAATATATAAGTGCTAGGCACAAAACTTTTGAAAGTACATTCTCAAATGAGTGAAATCTATTATTTATTAATTATAACAGAATTGCATAGTCGAAAGTGAAGAGAAAATTTGCCAACAATTATAGGCTAACAACATGGTATTAACAAATTTGTAAGTTTCGAACAGAATTGTTGTTATGCGTTGTTAAAAAGGTAATGACAAATAATTAAGCCGTCAGCACAAACCAAGCCCCCTTAAATATTTCACATTGTACTATGTACATATGTATGTGTGTTACGGCTAATATTGAGCGTTATTGTATTCATAAAAATTACTGAATGAAAACCAGCTCTCTTACAAAAAGCTACAAATCGCTATTTGCACACGTGTGTATGCTTGCATAGTGCAAGTGGCGCTCGCCCTCATGCTGCTGCGGCGCTGCAGGTATGTGTGAGCTTAAAAGAGCATTTAAGATAATAATCAACTACTTATTTGCGACAAATTTTCCATTTTTCTTGTTATACTCACATGTGCCATGTATGTATGTGTRTGTATGTTTTGACCGTTTAATCTGTCACGACCTCTAATAAACACACTGACCCATGGGTGCTATCACATATACAACGAAAAACAAATAAAGGCATGTGAAAATCGGTATATGGATATGTATGTATAGATCAGTGTGTGTGTGTGTGTTCATATCCTGGAACGCCCTTATCCATCGCCAAGCCTTTCGATGTGTGCAGTTTTGTTTACCTCAATAATAAATCGCTTGTTTGCGCCTAAATATATGCCACATTAGCGGCGTCGAAGTCGAAAATGGTGTTTACTGGCGATTGTTTGCATACCGTTACAAGTTTTGTCATTTATCAAAATTATGTACAACAAAATTTGAACTTAGCCAAATTTAAATTTTCACGCAGCACTGAATTGTTTGAAAAGCCGCTGGCAGTTAACGTGTTTAAGTCCGCGTACGCGGTGGTCAAAAACTGGTACTTAAATTCGGAAAATATTGTGAAAATTGAAAAACAAATGCCAGCAGTGTATTACATAAGGTTGCATTTGTAAATGTCTAATAAGGCTGGAGATTAAATTTTTGAAATTGCAAATCGCCGCGAAACACTTAATATGGAAATCAATGAGTCATCTTTGAGCGTGTTTTACCTCAGCAAATGGTTGGCTTTGGCACCGATTTCAATACAACAAAACGCAAAAGGTGTAAACGAGATAAAACGTAGTTTAATATTCTCTATATATGCTATCGCTTTGGGCCTAATAATGGGTGTGTATTGGAAAGTGAAAAAAAAAACAAAAAAAAAAAATCTAATTAAAAAATTAGATAAATATATAAAATAAAATAAAATATATACCATATATAAAATAAAATAAAAGTACTTTATTTCTAAAAGTCAAAATTTGTTGAAATTAACATTATTGCAAACATAAGTTTACTAATTATTTCATACCAACTGTCATGTGTTTTGTAGTCATACTCTGCTACGAAGGCTTACTGTTCGATGCGAATTCTAAGGTTCCTTTGCGGTGAGTATGTATGAAAATGTCGAAATGTGTTTCAAAAATCGATAGTGTTTACTAAGAATGTCATAAAACTATAGGTAGACAGTTACGAAAATATCATATTTGAAACTTTTGTGAACAAAGTACAGAAACGAATAAAATCAACCAACAGGAAGTGATTGTTTTAAATTTCAGCGACAGATATTAAAAATGTATGCTTTTCTCCCCACTGTTTGGAGTTTCATTGAAAGCGAGTATCAGCATAAAGATTTCATATTATAGTTAACAAAATCAAATACATCTATTATCTGAATTAGTGCTTCGAAAAAAGAAATTATTTTATAATAGGTTAGTGTGAAGCCGATACCTTTTTTTCAGAAAGTGCGAAGCCAAGATATGAAGAACTAAAGTGCTCAGCCTTAACGTGAATTTGGCGTGAATAAATCATTCCCATGTATTTTTTTCACGCCAGCGAAAAAACCGTATGACTAATTTCGTGTGCATGAAGACTTGTTTTTGAATTTCGATGAAACTATGAAGAACTTTGCCATCTTTTGCGGCATCAAAAATCGTTGTTGACTTTAAACTTGAAGAGTTACTTGGGTTTCCTCGGGAAAAAATAGCGTTTTTTCAAGTTTTTACTCCTATAAAAAATAAAAGATTTTATTACATTTTTTTATTGTTACAAACATACACGATTAACAATGAAATCCTGAAATTTTTGGAAAAAAATATTTTAAACTCGGCCATTGCTATAAAAAATAAAAGATTTTATTACATTTTTTTATTGTTACAAACATACACTATTAACAACGAAATCCGGAAATTTTAGGAAAAAAATATTTTAAACTCGGCCATTGCCTAAAAATTCGTGTTTTAATCAAAACCTTAACTTAGAACTTGGACGAAGGGACGAAGGAAAAAAAGAGAAAATAGGATTTTTGGCTGACATTTTTACAAAAAAATTAATACTTGCAACCAAGTCTTTAAGAACTGCATCTCAAATACCTGTGTAAAATTTCATGAAGATCAGTTGAGTAGTTCTGGAGAAATCTTATCAACCGACTTCAAAAACACAGTTTCAAGAAAAACGCATATATAGACGGAGCACTTAACCTAGTTAGCCTCGAGCGCAGAACTTTTCAAGTCTGTATCTACGAAGCTATTACTCGGATCAACTTGAAAATATTTGTACTGGGAGCTAGAGAAATGCACCACGCTCCTAAAAAAAAGCTTCAAAATAATTAACGTCTGCTGTACATTATAAAACATTTGTAGTAATTATCGATGTGATGGAAGTAATTTTTTTTCAAATGAACCTTCCCAGGCTGAAGTTTTTGAACCAGTAAAGTCTGATGAAACCAAACCCAACTCCTCCTATACTAATGCTTACCCTTTACATAGTCCTCCGCCAGTCTTTTTTTATTTTGCCCTTTCTAGATAGCCTTTTTCCGAACATATCTTTTCTGGTTCGTTAAGAAAAATATGAAGTTTTGAGAATAAAGCATTAAAACAGTTAGAAAGGACATTAGGGCAATCAATTGACAATCATTGTAGTTTAACTCTTTCCATTGATTTCATTCATTTCATGACGGTCCCATGCTGTGGGAATCGTGCAACTTCTTCCAATATGCGTTCACATTTTCTTTGTTCTCCTTCTGAAATCCTTTTCCCATATTAGGATTTTTCGACAAACTGACAAAAAGTGGTCGAACAAAATGGTACATATTTGCTGTTTTTTAGTTATTAGTATAAATATAAAATAAATAAGTTGAAGTTTGATTACAAATGCAAAAGACTTTTTCGACTACACAATATATTTACATTTGAGTGAAATTTGTTCCCTATAGGACGTTGTTCCCTTGAGAAGTGCATGATGAGATGCTAAGAAGATGTCTAACTTGCAAAATATCGAGCCCGCCTTGACTACTCGCTCAGGTAGCTTTAAGGAAGTTTCTCAAAAGTAGTGTTTTGTTAAGGTTTAGCAAGATTCTGAAAATTGTAAAAAATATATTAAAAATCTATAAATTGCTTGACAAAACAGCTCACTTTGTTTAGATACGACCTGTTTTAATTTTTTACGGTCTTCTTTATCTTGGAAAACATGGTAAAAAATGCACCGCGAACTAGAAAATTATTATTTTTTACACGTTTTCTAACCAGTTACTATATCCAAATTTCCGTTCGATACTCCATAGAAAATTGATAAAATAAACTAATTGAATTTAACAAAGGTTTGTTTTTGCTTTAAAAAACATTTTTGGGAGTTTAAAGTAGGAGGAATTTAATTGTTTTTTTTTTTTTCAAATCACATGAAAATACAAAGGGAATATTGGTCAAAATGTCTCGCTATATTTAATATGTGGAATATGTCTTTGTAGCTTTTTATTCAAAATCAGAGTTTTATGTATTTATAATACATAACAGTTTTTGCTTTTGTTAAAATAATCATTATGCATGAACGGTCGGATCAAATTGAAAGGCGAATTTTGTCCATTTCATCTCCTTCAAAGCAATCCCCTCCCATTTGTAACGCACTTATGCCAACGAGTTTTACAGTCATCATAGCACTTGAAAAATCCTCCGTCGTGATGGCCATCAGTGCCGATTCAGCTTTTATATCCTCAATTGAGTCAAAACAGTGTCCTCGGAGTGGTGATGTGAATTTGCTGAATAGCCAGAAGTTACAGGAAGGTAAATCAGGCGAATGCGGTGGTTGCGACACGATATTAGTTGAAAATGTGGCGAAATCATCGCGAATAACTAATGCAGTATGTGATGCTGCATTATCGCACTTCTTTGTTAAATAAATTCAGATATAGTAAAAATCGAAGAATTCACTTTTCTAGACATAGATCGATTTCTTAATTATTCAATGCAACTTACCTTAATATGATTTATATATTGATTTTTTAGAATGAATTCTTCTACCTCGAGGGTTGTCACTGCGATGGACGTTACTGTTGTGGTGTTCTCCAGTTTGGCTGGCATTGGATGTGGCATGTTTAGTGTTACGCCTTCACGAGAGCTAAATTTGCGTTTAAGAAAGGTAAAGCAAATAATTACTTTATTTGAGTGTTAAAATTGTACAGGAAGAAATCACATTTACAAATTTATATTTATATATGAAAAGTACGTTTAACGGGTTTTGTCCGCAGTGGACTTCTAGTGTCCAGTTCACTGTGTCCAGTTCGAGCCAACTTAGAAGATAGGATACTAAAAACAATTCATAAATTAAAAACAATATTGACATCTCTATTAAATGTACGCTCTATTAGGCGGACAACTCCATTTACCATGCATATTGTTATTGTTTATTAAGTATAATATATTAAGCGGACAGCTCTAATAACTGGACAGAAGGGCTGGTAACCAGACATTGATAAAGCAGCCTTAAATTCGTTATTTTTTCCAATGAAATGTTTGTATTTGTATGAACATATTATATTCAAAAACGTGAAGTACAACCTCTTGTATTGTTATACCGATAAAAACGTTGTCGCCTTTATTCGTTAATAAAATTTTCACTGTTTTGAGTAATTTATTATATAAATAATAGTATAAAACGTATACGACAGCAACGCGTGGCCGGATCCCTTAGTAGATATATGAAAGAAAGTCGTTATATAATTTATAACTCAGGAACGGCTGCTTCAAGATGTCTGTAAATATTTGAGAAGGCGGCTTAGGACCAGGGGACCGACATATGATAATTTTTATCTCTTTAAGATAAAATTTAATACAATTTCTAAATGCAAAAATTAAATTTTAAATCTTAAGCTTGTGTTCAAAATTTTGTTTATGATTTCAATATAAAGATATAGAACTGTAATTTTACACAGGGGATCGCTGAGGCAAGGGGCACATGTTGGCTAAAATATTTGAAAAAGTGACCACACCCTTTAGGTTTAATGCTGAAATAACCAAACTCGCTCAAGAAAATTTCATAAGAACCCCTACCGAAAATGTGGAAATGGATGAAATCGAAAAATAACCCCGCTTTTACTTCTAAAAGCTACTAAAAGTTTGATAAATTAGTATTTAAAATCGGGTCGATACTACATCCAGTATTACTACATGTAATGATTCGTTTTTCTAACAAATCGTATGTCGAATATTTCAGCCAAGTATGAGTATTTATTATATAATTGCTTGGATTTGTATACTCTGGTTGACTTTGTGTGCTTGAAGGTATTTCCCTGGCTTCGATTCTTGCAAGTTGTAAGAGTATAACATGCTCGGTTGCACCCGAACTTAGTCCTTCCTTACCTGTTATTCATAAATACCATATTACTGATATTGAATAGTTTATAATTAAAGTACGAGTATACCTTAGGCACAGCAAGGCGTGGACGGGTCTTCTAGTTATTGAAATAACTGAATTACATACATATTTAGCAGAAATAAAAATAAAATATTCCAAACTATCAGTATCACTGATGCAATTATTATTAAGTGAATTTCTTTAAAGGAAATTTTTAAATTATTAATTCTGATCTTGACTCAGAATCTTAATGGCCCAAATATATATCCATATCCATAGATTTTCATTACACGATCAGTGTGTTAAGAAGATTTGGAACGATTATTTTTTAATTTTTATTACGAAAACGCAGTATAATTAAAATGATAAAAAAATAACAAATCAAGCTTTTTTAGCAGTTTTGAATAAACACTATTTGTATAAAAATATGTTTCACGTTTCGAAAATTTATTGTTTTAATATAGTACATACTATGTCATACCTAATATTATCTTTCAGTTCGATGCCGCCTTGCATTCATTTTCGAATTTCAAACGTGACCGGATCACAACCAGAATAATGGCCATCATACCGATGGCTATAAGCGGAGCACTAATAGGTTATTTTATATTTTAATTTTCTAAACTTTATAACTGAACAAAAAAAAAAACATATACTTTAAAGCTTTCGATATATGGACATGGGTACTACAAATAGAAATTTCGCCACACATGAATTCAAGTGAGTAATTCCGAAAAAAAAAAAAAAAAAAAATTGCTAGCTTTCTTTCTGAACAAATTTTTCAGCCGCCAATGTCAAGTGGTATATCCCGTTTTATTTACTTTACTTCGTTATGATTGGTTTCCACATTTTATTCGCCAACACGGCAATTGGACTCGGCAGACGTTTTCGCCGTTTAAATGTAATGTTGAGATGTCAATACTTGTCTGGTAAAGATAATATTAATTAATTTGAATTATTATAAAATAAACTAAAAACATGCTCGTTTACGCAGAGAGCAAGCCATATAGCTTAGTGAGAACGCAGATTAACAGCATTAAAATCATGCCTGACAAAGCGATGTCACTACACGAAAGTATAGACCGTTTGAACGCGGAGTCATTGCCCAAAGACGGTTTGGGTCAGTGAAATCGAGAACAACAAGCGAAAATTTGATTTTTGATTTTCTTCTTCACTTTTATTTAGGCAAAACACGTGTTATGTTATTGAGATCACTTGCCGAAAACCACGAATCGCTGGGTAAATGCGTACAGATATTTTCAAGGTAATTTTGTAACCATAAAATCTTATCGTTTAAATCAAACGTAATGTTGAAATGCAGGTTTTTTCATTTTAGCACCTTCGGCATAGCCGTGCTTTGCATACTTGTTTCCTGCCTGCTGCACTTGGTTGCCACTTCGTATTTTCTATTTCTAGCATTGTTAAACCCAAATGTAACCGGTTATGCGTGGGGTCAGGTGCTGTGGATTCTTTTACACATATTAAGACTGTTGTTGGTGGTTGAGCCGTGCCATATGGCAACCCTAGAAGTGAGTATTAAGTACTTACTATACTTGTATTAGATATTTTGCAATGTTGAACTTTAATACTCTTGCAACATGTTGCTATTGGGTATAATAGTTTTATTACCTAACGGTTGTTTGTATCAGCTAAAACTCACCGTTATATATACATATATATAAATGATTGATAAGGATATTGATGAGTTGAAATCCGGGTGACTGTCTGTGTGTTCGTCCATAGCCGACCACTGCAACGCCCACAAAACAACATTTATCGAAAAGCTATAAATTGCCAAAACTGAGCAGCAAATTAAAATACAAAACTGAAATTCGGTACAACAAATCACATTAAGAAGGTTTGAAAATCCTTAAAAAGTGATCGCGACCTTTCCCTCTAATATGTTTAATGTACATGTATATCTTCCCAACCATTTGCACTATATGTTTCAAATTTGCACATGCCAAAATTTCGACCCTTCTTATGATAGTGTGAAAATAGGTGAAATCGGATAATAACCCCGCCAGGTCCTCATACAACGGTTTAAATAAAAACTACTAAAAGTGCATTAAATTAATAATTAAATGGATCAGAGCCATCGAATTTTACATCCGGGATGACACAGAGGAGTTTTATAGTTACCGATGACAAAATTAGCCGAGGGAAGTCACATATTTCCGGAACTGCTCGATTAATTTCAACCAAATTTTGTAGAAAATATTACTCTGACTCTTACGCTAGGTGCACATAATTATGGTGGGGGCTTCGTCATTCTGTTCTGTCATGTCCATCCACATACCATCGTTTTACAGGCAGGGACGTCAAAAAACGTGATGCGCGTTAAAGTTGCCTAGTGCCAAACGTTTTTCACCACGAAGTTGCATGTACATATGTCAAATATTTGGAACCCAACATCGTTTGTCCGTATACTATGCCCTGACATTTACGGGTAGTATCCCTGCGGCCAATGCCGCTATTGATGAGACGATATTGCAAGGTGTACTGTATAACCACAGTATGATGTCTAGGCGTCCACCATAATCTCGCGCGATATGCGTAAGATGTTAAAATTTGTACAACTCAGAAGATCTGAGCGGCTGCCTAACATGGTTTCTTGGAGTCCGTTGCAGTTGAATTTAGTATACGGGTTTGTCTCGGATGTCCTGATACGCGAAACAGACTGTGCGAGCAACCAATAATTGCTGAGTGGTTCTCGTAGGAGGATTTGAGCGAGATGAAGTTTAGGGAAGGAGGACTGATCAGAATGGAAGTCATGCTGCCTGGTTGATCTTTTAGATAGTAGGGGTCCTTTGTTGGTTACTCTAAGGGAGTGGCGGTGAAATGCGCGAACTTGGTGCAGATTATATAGAGGCTACGTAATTTGTGATCCACTCTCGGTTTCTTTAAAGACCTCAGGAGGTCTTAAGATGAATCCATCCATTGCCTGTATTATACCTAACCGATGTGAAGTTTTGTTGGAGCCTTCTAGCGCAAACGCAGCAGAAATATTTCTCCGGTCCAGGGTTGGACTCAATGCCAGCTGAGTGAAGCTATCCTGCTGTTAGGATGGTCTAAACAGATTTATATCGTCGAAAAAATTAGCCCTTGGCCGAATAAAATCCGGGTCCATTCCGGTAACGTTAAAACGGCTTGTCTAAACCAAAAATAAAATATCCGTAGAAATTATTCAGATAGAAGCACTATACTATACAGTTGCCATATAAACTGTGCGATCGGAACCCAAGGGTTTGTATAGAAAACCTTTTCATTTGACGAGATATCCTCAAGAAATTTGACATGGATTAATATCGAAGGCAATTAGGCAAACTCCGAAGATGTCATTCAAACAGAACGTTCAAAATCAAGATAGGAATTGCTATAAAAAATAGATGGGTGTTAAAGATTTAGTGCAGCCGAAGTTAACATTTTTTTTTTGTTTTATATAAATTTAAAAAATGAATGAATTTCTCGGGCTTTGATCTTTGCAATTTGAAAAAGTATAAAATGTTTGGTCACACCATAAATTAGCTCTTTCTTATTTGTTTATTAGAATATTATGAAAATTGGATTAATTTGAATTTTTAATAAATCTTTTTAAATATATTTTTGCAGTCAAAGAAAACCATACAAATTGTTTGTGAGATCGAGCGTAAAATGCATGAGCCTGTGCTAGTTGAAGAGGTAGCCTTTGTGACATATTTATTACCTATTTTTAATAACAAAATTGTATCTTTATGATAGATTAAAAAGTTCTGGCAACAATTACTCGTTATTGATGTAGAATTTTCCGCTCTCGGGCTTTGTCGCATCAACAGAAATATACTAACGGCGGTAGGTGGCTACAAAATATTTATAATTTTAAATTTTATATTTCTTAATTTCTTTTTTTTTATTAATATGTTACATTCTTTATTTTGAATTACTGTTGAAACTTAGACATCAAGTTCATCATTTGTGAAAGGGCAAAAAAAAAAAGTAACACAATTTCTTCGTTTTTATAAATAACACTGGTATACCGGTAGTTTTGTTACTCTGGATATATTTAATATCGATTTTAGATATATGTATTTGTGTCCACAGTTCGTGAAATTAAGTTTTGTAGGACTTCGGTTTAATTTTAAATATTTATTTCCATTTTACGCTACAAGAATCAGTAAAAAAGAAAAAAAAATAACAATTAGTTTTGTTTTGAAAAAGTAAGGACAAATTTTAGTAAACAAAGAGAAATTTCGAAAACATGTGTAATATTCCAGTAAAACCCCTTTTTTGGCCTTTTCGTTCGTAATTTTACTGATAGCAATATCTTTTTAAGGACCAGCAGTAATCTGCCATCTTATAACGATCTCAGCAACCTTGATATCATTATTGAACTTCTCCATTATAATTTCCAAAATTATTCGTTAATGTAGATAGTTTTAACTTGATACTCAAATTTGCTCCTAGAGTCTGACCGTTAGCCTGCAAATTTTGCACAATTTGTTGATAATTTGGTACTTAGTGGTTACATAGGCGACTTTCGAATATCAGCACAAAATTTGTGCATGATTGCAGAACTGTCATAACCTTGTCAAAACCTGTCTCTTTCATTTCCTTGCTGTATCAAAATTTCCACTTTTCAACTTTATCATACCAAGTTGAGAAATTTTTTACAAATGTCACTAAAACAATCTCTTCCAGCGTCCAACGCTGTGAAAGAATTGTTTTATCATTGCTAACTTGTTCGCGTATTACATCTCTGAGTCTGTTTTGAGAAAATAGCTTTGGTGTTGATATTTCATCATCTTATTCGCAGCGATTGGTGTAATGTCTTAATATCTAAGTTTTTGGTGATATCAATGTTCTGAGTAGTCGTGAAAGTGAAATTTTCATTTGGTAAATCAGAACATTTTGTAAACTATAATTTTAGATATCTCCACGTTTGATTTTTAGTAAAACCTCAAAACTTTCCGCGTAATTTTCGCATATTTTCGGGAAGGAGCCTGAAGGTGGGGATCATGCGTTGTTTGTAGGCACCAAAAAGGCTCAGAAACTTCAACATGACTGGAGAAGTAAATTTTTATTACTAACAAGTTAATATTTATCAAGTTATTGGATATGCAATTTTCTTAAAAACAAGCACACATTCAATATCTTTATGAACAGTTCGTAATCTGGACACTTGACATTATCAAAATTTGCTAAGATTTCTAGGCCAGCAAAAAAACTTTGTTTTTGTAGAACTGTGCTACCTATGTAAACTGATTTTATTGATAATACTGTAAATAATACAAAAAAAGACAAAATTTATATAAAATATTCTCACACAGTTAAAGTTCCATCTGTGCTACAAAAACAAACCGTAATAATTCATTGTATAGCAAGTTTTTTTTCGTTTTATGTAATTAACTATTTTTTAAAAATTATGGATCTAATTCGGCCTGAGGGTTTGAAGTGACCTTGGGGACCAGCGGAATCATGCGTTGTAATTACCTTTCTCCAAACACGAAGTAGTGAGTCGAATTTTTTGGATATGCTTGACTTTACGAAGCAAGAGACACGATTGTTTCTTGAACACGAAAATACGGATCTCGATGATACGGTCTTATTGCGATACTTCCAGATAACCAACCAACCTTATAATATTCCATCTACTCGGTGCAGTGCCGCTAAAATCTCATCTGAATTCCGTTTTGACGGAAATGACGGACTACAAAGCATGGTACCGCAGCACAATCCAATCCTTCTTTTCCGTATCCGTAGCATTAATTAAAAAAAAAAAAAAACGAACATGATATCCAGCCAAATGAAAAAAAGTAAGTCGATTACTCACGGAGAAAAAAAGTGATTGCGGTTTGTTTTTGTAGCACAATTCTTCCGTCACCCAGTATACATACCAAATTATAAATGTTTTATATTATGGATAAACATTTTTATACGTTTTTCTCCTTTTGAAAATAATGTAACGTGAGACTTACGCGCTTAATTCATATAATATGTCCTTTCATTACTTACAGCTTAGTTCAGCTATCGCTACATATCTGGTTATACTCATACAGTTCCAAAAAGCAAGTGGTTGATGCATTATCCTGTTTTCTTGTGAATTTCGCGTATTTAGACGACTGAGAAGTAATGCCGAAAGAATGTTTAACAATGAAAATATTGTAAATTAAAAAAGAAATAGAAATATAAGTAAACAATGAATTAAAAACTATATTTTGTATATTTGTATAATGTTTATAACAAATTTATATAGTTTATTTTACAAATACATCGAAAAATCTCTGGGGCATTAGGTTAATTAGCGACTTTATGTCTCAGTATTCTTCATTTGACAAGGCCTGCACAATTTTGTTTTAAGGCAAACATTTTGAACCTTCGAAATTTCAAATTTTTACTTTTGGGCACAACTCGGTTAATTTCTGGGACATCATATTTATGTTTAAATATTTAAAACATCAAGTCTAATAATTGTTTTTTAATTTATATTTTTCCTCATAAAATAATTGTTTTCGCTTACAATATAAGAGTTATTTGAAAACTCGCATAATAATAGTTATGCGGTGAGTTTGAAATAACACAAATACACAATTGAAGAGTAAACTTTTTCTTTTGCCTTTTTATGAGCGCGATCTGTCAACCAGTTCGTTTACTAAGCAGCTGCTTGAGTCGGTGCACATCAGTGCGATTTTTACTACGGATAAAAATATCGATTATCAAAAATTTTGTATTTTTAACCAAATTTCGTGTGAGCAATCTTTGCGAATGTTGTAAAAACCAGACAGTGAATCAGTTTTATTAAAAACACAAGCCTGCAGTGGTACAAACCCTTTACAGACGATCGATAGTTCGTTCAAGATATGCCTCGTTATGGACGACCTTCGAGATCTTCAACTAACGAATATATTAAAAAAAGAGAAGGATATGGTGCTTGGAAATCATCAAGCAGGTGTTGGAGATATGGTAAGAGGGTTCAACATCTCTCGCGAGTTTCTTTCGAATGAATTTATTGGATATTTTGTGTTTGAAACGCGTTCTTGCTCGACTTGTCCCGATAAAATAATAATTAATGTGCGTTATCTATATTTGGCGGAAAAAAATGTTGTGGTATATACATAGACATAATTTTCTCTTTAAATTTTGTATTTTGGCCTTTAGTATTATGTTATCCAGTAGTCGAAATTAGTTATGTTTGAATGCAGCCGATCGCAGCCATCCCTTACTTGTTTCATATATTTTTTCATAGTTATCAGTATGGCTTTAGTATGGCCTGGAAAATTAAAACCTGACCAAATATTCACAATGCGCCAAATCTGGAAAAGAGACGAGAAAAGAGGATCGAAACATACTACTTCTTCATCGATTTCAATGCTGCTTTTGACAGCTCAAGAGGAGATGCCTTTATTCTGTTTTTTCTGAATTTCGGTATCTCCGCAAAACTTATACGGCTGGGTAAACTGAAGTTGAGTAATACCTAAAGCTCCATAAGGATCAGGAAGGACCTCTCCGAGCCGTTCGATACCAATGGAATTTTCAGGCAAGGTGAGTCCCTATCGTATGACTTCTTCAATCTACTCCTGGAGAAAATAATTCGAACTGCAGATCTGAATAGAGAAGGTACCATCTTCTACAAGAGTGTACAACTGCTGGCAGACGCCGATGATATTGATATCATTGGCCATAACAAGCGCGCCGATTTCTCCAGGTTGGACAAAGAAGCGAAGCAAATGGGTCTGGTAATGAACGAGAACAATAAGAAATATCCTATCATCAAACAGTCGTCGCACTCGTGACTTAGCTCCCGCGTCACTGTGACAGTCATAGCTTCGAAGTCGTAGATAATTTCATCTATCTTGGAAACAGCATTTATAACAACAACGACAGCCTCGAAATCCAACGCAAAATAACTCTTGCCAACAGGTGCTGCTTCGAACTGAGTACGCAATTGAGAAGTAAAGTCCTCTCAAACAAAGAGCAAATTCTACAAGTCGCTAAAATAATTAAAATATTTCAAAACTTTAAACTGAATTTAGCCTTTAATGTGAGTCTTTAATAATAGTCCGAATTCGTCACAGTTGTATGCTTAGGTAATTTTTCGTCATTTCTTAGCACAATTGTGCAAACTAACTTCACACGTAGGCTTACGCTCTATCGATCAGTCATTGTCGGGCTAGCAACGACTTAACATCACGCAGGACTATAGCGCAAAACCCAATATGCCCTACGAGAAATATTTTATGATTTTAAATGAATTTGGTGCCATGCAATTCATTTTATGTTCCAAGTCTTTTAAATATAATAGGGAATATATCCTTAAAAGAAATCACAAATTTGGATGATTCATGCTACCCTGAATTGAAAAAAAATTCATTTAAATGTTTATATCTTTTTCCCTCTACTGACATATGTGAACAAATTTTTTCAGATTTAAAATTTATTTCTTCCAAACAACGCAATAAAATTTCTTCAACCCATTTAAAAATTATTATTTTAATAAGAAATAGTCATAAAAAGATTGATATAGATAAATGTATTAGAGATATAACATTAAACAATTAGTTTAAGCTATATTTATATTATATATATAAATTATTCCCTTCATTTCGAGA